CCAAATAAAAAGAGAATTAAAAACGCTCCAAGATGCTATTTTTGAAAAGAAAGATGGTGGAACTTTTATTAGAATTGAAATCGAGCGAGAGGAGTCATTACAAAACCGGGCTAATCCAGTTGGCAACCCAACTGATCCCAAAAAATTAGCCAGTTTGCTTAAAAGTGATTTACAGGACATTTTGACTAATGATAGCCGGTGAAGAGAGGAAGGTTATAATTTCGATTATATGGAAATTGCCAAAGGTGAAGAAATATGAGTGATACACCGCAAAGAAAATAAAGAAATAGCAAAGGCAATTGAAAATTTATCCCGCCGCCGCCATTCAAAAAAAGATTATGCTAATGATATTAAACCTAGTGATTTAGACCAGGAAGATTATAATGAAATATTAAACATGGTTCGCCAAATAAAAGAGTTAGAAAAAGTTAAAAGAGAACAACGCCAGCAAAATATCGAAAATATAAAACTCAATAATCCCCAAATATTTGGTCAATCAAGGTGTTCGACTGATAGAAGAAATGGTCAGAAAAAATGAGAGAATTGACATACTTTTCACGGAAAACATAATGGTCATAATTGAGAAATTAGTGTTCCCGATAACCATATTGCCTTAACTAATGTGTTGTTTGACGATGGTTGAGGAACTAACTCGGAAGTTGGCAAGTTTTTTGTAGTGGAAGGAGTAGTTAAGCCAACTACCCTTCGTTATTGAAATGTTGCCAAACAAAAAAGTGAAATTATTTCCGAAGCCGAAGCCCAACGTTTAATAAAACAAGATAAAGACAATGGTCGTTATTATATTAATTATCACACTTATGTTGATTTAAATGATAAAATTACCATTGACCATTATCAACATTATCAAGCAAACGGTCAGCAAGGATTAGCGAAACCAGTTAGTGGTACCAATGAATTAGTTGAAAATAGCGACCAACAAAATATGGCCGGAGGGCTTATTGTTCACCAAGAAAAAGAAAAATCACCTGAACAAGTAGACAACGAATTTATCTTACAATATTTTCAAGACCATGATATCAAGCGAATATCTTTAAATCCAGAAGGTAATTTACTAGTTGAATATAATAGTGGTAAGTCGCAAGTTATATTTAACAAACAAGCCAACAACAAAGAACTGCAAAAACTTATCGCTTATTACCAAAAAAGTGGTCAAACTAGTTTAACCCAGCAAGATTTAGTCAATGCGAATAATTCTAACTCCATAACACCCAAAAATACTAATAACCATACCTTGTTAATAAGTTTGGGTCTAGGTGGAGCCTTAATAATTGGATTAGTGATTGGGTTATGGTTAAGGAAAAATAAAGTTAAAAAGCATTAGTCCTTCGTACCTCGACTGTTTTTTGCTTTTTATTCCTCCTAATTAAGAAAAAAATAATAATTTCTACTCCGGCTGAGGAGAAAAAAATAATTCAAAAATATCTATCAAGAAAAGGTTCAACGTGGTTTAATTTTGCCCGTAATTTTTCGGATAATTTAGTGTCAACAGTAGAGGTGGTAGCGATGAGAAGGAACTTTGACAAATCAATCGATGCCTCTATTTCGCCCCTACCCAGTTTTTTTTGATATTTTCCTAAATTAGTATTTTTGGTTGGATCCAAAATTATCAAAAGTTCTTTTTCCAAGGCGGGATTAGTAATTTTATCAATATTTTTAAGCAAAATATTATTTTCTCCTACCGAATGTTTTCTTTGCTTACAATCCATATCGATTTGGTTTTGAGAGTGTTGATAAATTTCCCGAATTTTTTCTCGAAGAAATTGTGGATTGGAATTCCTTCCCTTGTCAAAATCAATAATATTAGAGGCTCAATCTCTATTATGCACCAATTGCCAACTTCCCTTGAAAGTTGTTCGCACTTTTAGTAATTCATAATTAAACTCCTCGCCACAAAATAAAAGAACCGGCGAAACCGTTTTTCCACCTCATTTCCCTGTTCATTCCCATTCTTTTTGTTCTAATAGATAGCCGTTTTTTATACTTTTGTTAAGTGCCTCTGAATATTTCTTTTTAATTTCTTCTCCTTTGCCTTGTCATTCACGTAAATGCTGATTGCGATAATATTCTTTTTCCTTTTTTTCTACCTCCTCTTTTTCTTGATTGATTTTTTTTCTTTCTTCCCTCAGTCTCAATATTTCTTTTTCTAACTGAATTTTTTCTTGATTTTTGGGGTTTATTTCCTGCTGTAAGGTATTTTTTAATGCTTCCTCCATTTTTTGCCACGGCTCTCCTCTTTTTTTCGCCCTTTTATCAATCCAATTTTCTTTTTCTTCTTTTTCCTCCACCTGTTTCAACTCTCTTTTCAGCATAGAGAAGGCTATTTTTCCTGGCAAAATTCAGCCAGTTATTAAGGCCGACAAAATAATTATTCCTAAAATTAAGCGTCAGGATTTTTTCCACCAAAATAAATAACCAAGTGGTAAAATAACCATTAAAGTCAACCAGTAAATAATTAATGCCATTTATAATTATATTAATTTTTTTCTTTTAGGAAATGGTTAATAATCATAATAATTTCTTGGAAAGGATAATCAGGAAATTTTTTTTTAACTTGTCCGAGCAGATAATTTTGGACTTTTTGCCGATTGACAGTAATTATTTGGGCTAAATCATCATTCCACAGAATTTTTAATTCTTGCTCTACTTGATTTTTATCAACCTTAGTATTTTTTTCATATTTTTTCACTAGCAAGGCAAAGGTTTCTTTAGTTTCTATTAACTCTTTGACGAGTGATTTTATTTCTTCATTTCCTAACTTTTTTTCTTTTCAGGAGCGAAATACTTCACAATAAGAGTTCCATTTTTTACTAAATAAGTTAATGTTCCCATCTCCAAAATAAGGAGTTAAATAATTAAGGTAAAAAGTTAGTCAATTTTTATATTCCTCTTTCCCTAAGGTTTTTTTTTTTTCTAAAAAATTAAGTATTTTTAACAAAGGAGGGGTTTTGGAAACCTTGTCAGCCGTTTCTAAGTCTACTTCTTTTAATTCTTCTCAGTAGCCTCAAGGTAATTTGGGCAAACTTGTTTTAATTTTATTGATTTCTCCAACTTTTAATTTAATAGGGGGGATATTAACTTCGGGCAAATAATAGTAATTAGTTTTTTC